TGGGTTGTATATGCATATACATTTGTACTCAGTCTTCTTAACCTGCAATTTTGTGCCTTTTATTCTTGCCATAGAACAAAAACCTGTTAATTTCAAGTTTGGTGCACTTATAACAGCAGTTCTGAGGTCAAAACCTTTCAACTTGATGTGTTTTACACATTCCTAAACCACTTCTGAAAAAACCTTGCCATGAAAACTGCAGGGACTTGTCCAGCAGTCTCCAAGAATTAGACACGATTGAACGGATTAAAAAAAAAATGAATATGTCCTGGAAAACTAATTTGCTTGCTTGCTTGCTTATTTATTTAACATTCATTTAATTTTAATTTTCAGTTTAATATCTTGCAAATGCGACTCTGGGTGGCTAATACATTAAAAATAGTAGGAAAAAACCCAATATCAACAAAAGTTAAAAGCTAAAGTGGTCCCCAAGAAGACAATCAACGAAAACCTCTCAATGAGCCATCAGACCTTCCAACTCTCAGAGCCTGGAACACATTCAGGTCTTCATTGCCTCGCAAAGGGCCAGCAGGGTTGGGAAAGGCTAGACATGGAAATGGAAAATGCTAAACCATCTCTCTAGTATTGAGTGAGTTCACAAATTATGATCTCTGTAAACATTCATTAAGATAAGATATAAGGTGATAAGATAGTCTTTTTTATAGTCTTTTTTACCCTTTTTAGAAGGGTAAGGCATACACATACATTATTCCAGAAGCCACACAAATAATGAATGCAGTTTCATCAGCTTCCTTTAACTTTCTGTTTAAAGAAGATCACTGGCTTAAGGAGCCACAGTTTTAATTACTCGAAAGCCCGCAACAACTGGAATATCAGAAGCTGCAATAACTTTTAGGACAAATAGACTAAATAACAAATGCTACCCTTAAATAAAATGCCAAGAAGCACTTTGATAAATCAAGCTTGCTTTAAAAAAAAATTGCAAAATTTTTAAAAACAGCTTTCTTACAATTGAATCTATCCAAAGTAATGAAAGGCCTAGTTTTCTCATAGAACAGCTCTACCTACTATTTTAAAGCTCAGATCGTGTAATGTAAGTTTTTCAGGGATTAAAGAAAATGGAATTATATTAGTAGTCCAGTATTTTCCATGGGTATCTTGTGGCATTAAGTGCAGATACTAAAACAGATCTCTGTGCAAACAGGGATCCCAAAACATGCCAAGATTTTGGTAGGATCAAAGAATTACTCAAGTCCAAAAGGAGTTGAATTCTGAAGGAGCCAGGAACCAAAACTAAGATAAATGCACAGTGATAAGCCTGAAAATATGAAAAATTAAATCTGCCTTTCCCAACTCAATGAAAGTTGCAGGATGCCATTGTGGAAAAGAGTGTACTCAGTATACTGTTAATTCATTTAAAATAATGTGAAAGAATAAATTAGCAAGGCCTCTCAAACCAGTCTTGGAGTCAGAGTCACTCTTAATCACATTTATTTTACACTGAATGTTAAAAAAAATTGTAGACTGTCTAGAACACCCTTTATTTGCAACAAAACAGGGTATAAGTACAAATCTAGGAGCTCTGAAAGTTTCCTTATATTATGATGAATTTAAAAGTCAGAACAAACCCAAAGTTCTAAATCTTACACTTGACTAAATTGTTGCTATGACCCATTAACATCAAGTCTGACTGGCTCCAAACTTTTAATAAAATAAAGTTGGAAATACAAATTTTCTGTCTATCTGTAAAGCATCAGATATTATTTGAATATATTATAGCTTTCTAATCTGTCTCCAATATTGTAATTCTGTTAATGTTTTAATTATGCAGGGCAGAGATTCTAAAGTCATCTTAAAAAAAGAAGTGATCCTTCACATATATATCGTATTAGGATATGAATGATAATGCATAAAGAGTAATTTTTTAACTTTCTCCTCTGAAAAATTAATTTTAGCCAGTAGTTGCTTTTTTAAAAAAAAATGTAAATAGTAATCAGTGTTAGTTGAATGCTTAGCAATATCCCATTTGGAAGACAGTAATGACAAATGAAGCAGTGAGTTTTATGGGAGTAAAGCCTTACATTGTAATAGTGTCTGTATTACATACTTTAAGTTTAGATTTCAAAGAATGAAATACTGGGAAAAATATATATTTGAAATTATAAATAGAATGCTAAATGCCACAAATCCAAAAGTATAAAGTGGACAGTGGAGTGTTATAATCTAAAAAAGGAACCAAAGTTTGATTCAGATCACCTCCAACTATGACCCAGTCTACTGACTTAGTACAGGTAGTCCTTGCTTAATGATCATTCATTTAGCAATTATTCAAAGTTACAATGGTGTCAGGCCCAGCCCAAGAACAATGACGAGACAGTCCAGTCCAATAGTTCCTTTATTAGCTTGCTCCTAATAGTGACTAAACCTATACTAAAGCAACTAGTGGCTATAGCCAGTGAGACTCTAGGGAGGGGCCAGCCTCATCCTCTTCGTCTTCCCACACTCTTGCTGCAGGCTGAGAAAGCGCTTGCTCTGAAATGTTCCCCCTCACTCCTGATAATGTTGATCCTCCATTCCAGTATCTTCTTCGCTCATGCCCTCCATTACAGACGGTGCTAAAAAGTGACAACCAGTGCCCGAAGTTATGACTGTCATAGCACCCCTGTGGTCACGTGATCACGATCTGGGCACTTGGCAACTAGCTCGCACTTACGATGGTTGCAGCATCCTGGGGTCATGTGATCTCCATTTGTGACCTTCCCAGCCAGCTTCCGGCAAGCAAAATCAATGGGGAACCTCTTGATTTGCTTAACGACCATGTGATTCACTTAACGATCAGTGATTCACTTAACGACCACACAAAAGTAAACTCAGATCTGGTCATGTGATGATTTGCTTAATGACTGCATCACTTAGTGACCTAAATTCTGGTCCCAATTGTGGTCATTAAGTGAGGACTACCTGTATATAAATACTGAAAACAATTATGGATTTTTTCCTAGAAGATCTGCGATTGGACCATATATATATTTAGGAGTGCTAGATGTTGATAATAAAATCTGACAATATTTATTAAAAGGTGATTTTTAAAAAATTTATATCTCTTCAATCAATTTAGAAAATTGAATTAAAATTGCAGCATGTCTCACATATTCAGTGGGTCTCTAGCCCATGTTGCCTATTGTTTATCTTAGGGCTCTAAACACAATCTGAAATTTGTTTATACTTCAAAGTGCTTGTTAGTTATGTGGGAAATAGAGATTCTTAAAGAATTCTCTAGATATAGTAGGCAATAATTTCCTTTCAGCTTGGAGCTAAAAATTAGACAATTACTGTTTTAACATGTTTCTTTGCAAATGAAATGTAATATATGGAAAAGGAAGGTTGAGAGTATTTTCTTCTGTTTCCTTGATGTGAAGGCTTTTTCTTTTTGAAAGATATCCAGCTGAGGACCTAAAAAGGCATGTCATACCCTATTTGTCATACTTTTGCTGAACCTGGCAACTAAGACACCAGGAATTGAATCAGAGAAGGAGGTTGAATAAAATCCCATTTAGATATGGAAATTGTTCCTATCATTAGAATATCTAATGAATAAAAATGCAAAAAGTTCTATGTGTCCCAAAGAGAGTTAAAAATAGGTAAGTTTGACAGTTTCCTATAAATTTTGGCAGCAGTCATGTAGCTGTCTATTAAGCAAACATGAAGAATAATAATTAACATGGTGGGAACTTGTCATTTAATCAGTGGAACTTAACACCATATAATGTGTTGAATGATCTAGCTACCAAGTACTTCTACCCATGTTGAGGGTAGAGAAGCTTATATTGTGAAAGCAAGAATCAGGCCCTTACACAACTGTTGAACAACAAAATGAATCTAATATTGTTTTAAAAGGTTATCAAATTGCTATAATTTCCATAACTCTTTGTGGTTAGACTACTGCAACACATTCTGCATGGGGCTGCCTCTGAAGATGACACAGAAACTTCCATTGGTCCAAAATGTGGTGGTCCATTTAGCACTGATGCTATGATTTATGGTTGGGTTACTGGTCTGCCTTTTGGCCAGTACAGTTGCTGGTCATTACAAACAAGGCCATTCATGGATCAGCTTCTGAATATTTACATCTATCTATCCAGCAAGATTCAGCCCACTTTCTATATTTTTTTAGAGAGGGAATGTTAAGAATGAAGTGAATGGGGTGAGAGGCCAGTGATGCATCTCAATGACTATCCCCACACTTTGGATAGTCTCCTGAGGTGTAGAATGCCTCCAACATCCTGGCTTTTAGGAATTATTCTGCATGTTATTTAAGCGCTAAGGGTCACAAGGCTGCCTTTAGGTAGTCCTTTGAGGTTTTCACTTTTGTTTTTGAATGTCATTTTATTGTGTTATTGTATACCACCTGGAGTCCAAGGAAGCATGTGATGCATCCTATAGTGTACAAATACATAATTTTCTAGAATTGGTGACTCAACCATCAAATTGTGATATCCAGTAATTAGAATAATTATTTGGACAAGATGTGCTTGAAGGATCTCCATAAAATTGCATTTTTGGAGTGTTCTGGCACAGACGTTCTTGAGTACTTTTGCTACAAAACATTTGCTATTCTGAAGGGGAGTGAGGTGGTAATACCTGTGAATTCTAGAAATCTGAATATTTTTCTTCTTCTCTCACATTAAATTATAGTATATTCCTTAAGACTCTGGAGTAATGGAAGTTTATATTATTATTATTATTATTATTATTATTATTATTATTATTTTGGATTGATTGATTTTTCTTTTTTGCGTTAAGATGATGTGTTGGGAATGTGCACTCCACCCTCCTCGTGGTTTTTAAAAATTATTTCATGACCCATTACAGTCATTTTCATTTATAGCAGCACTTTTATTTTATCTCACAGCTTGTGGTTTAGAGTATTTATGAGGGTGGAGTGTACTGCATCAATTCACCTTCCATTTGTGTGTTGATGTGGCATTTATATTACATAAGAGTAATTTTTTTTCTGATTTTTTTTCTTGTATCACCAGTGCACCTATTCCATTCTTCCATCGCTGTGCTCCTGTGAACATTTCCTGCTATACCAAGTTTGCAGAGGCCCTGATCACCTTTGTCAGTGACAGTAGTGTCTTGCACAGGCTGATTAGTGGAGTAATGACCTGCAAAGAGATTATATTGGGACTTTGCTTGTTATCACTAGGTAATTGTTTTTCTCATTCTTAGCTATTTCTATAGTATTGCAACAGGAGAATGTGAACAACTTCTATCCCCACAATATGAAAATGAAGCATGCTCAGTATTAACTATTGCAGTATAGGAAACTATTCCAAAAAGTGTTTCTTATCCAGCCTCTGAATTAAGTGTTTTTTAAACATGTGTGCGTTGATTCTCCTTACATTGAAGTAGTACGGGGATTTTAACTGATGAAAGCTGAATTATTTGAAGGCACATTGCTGCATTTCCATTGTGGTAACTAAAGGAATCTAGCCATAGAGGTGATCTCATTCATAGATAAAGAACCACGCATAAATTACTCTAAGATCATCAGAGAAATAGCAACTATAGGTACATTTTTTTAAAATTTAAAGATTAATCATTTACCCTAAAATAAGTGCCAGGATTGCCACTACTTTAATGCACGTGCCCAAATACTACTATATGAAATAAAAGGGACTTAACTTTATTTAGCAAGAAGTACCCTTCATTGTTAGGAAAGAAGCCCTGGCTTTTATGTAGCTTAACTCAACTAGTCAAACAGTAAATGAGTGAGCAGGCAAGCATGTTTTCCCAACTCAAGTATCCTTTAACTTAAAATGGATCTAATTTATGAATTTAAAATGAGGATGAATAGGTGGAAGGAAGCAGCACTTCCACAGACGTTTCTCAGTGTCCCAAATTGGCCTCTTTTTCAGGGACACTTTGGAGGGTCCAACAAATTTGTTGCCATGAAGCGAACTGAAAGAATTAGCCAAATGCGGATAAGAATACATAATAAACTCAGCATCCAAGCCTGAATATAATCTGTCTGCTCATTCTGGCATGATTATAGCTCAATAAGGACTTCATAGTAAAAGCAGTGCAGGTTTATTTGTCTATGTTGACATTATTTTGTTCCTATTTTGTTCCTAAATAATCTTTGCCCTTGAACGTTTGAAATAAAATATGAACTTTGGGGAGATATAATGTTTTCCCGTTGTGTGAATTCTTCCTACTTCACTGTGTGTGAAGTTGGGCAACGGTCACCTAGAGTTCATGTTTTATTTCAAATGTTCAAGGGCAAAGATTCAGTATAGTTTTAATTAAAATTAGTGTGCATAGTGTTGATGAAATAATTAGCTGATCTTTCAATCACATGATTTAAAGAGTACAGTCCTAGTTGAAATTTCTTAACTCTATATAGAATTGTTTGTTAAATATGATGATAATAAGAGAAAACTCTTTGGTATGGTCTTACATTGAGCCAACAGCT